CTGGTCTTATTGCTGTGGGCAAGATGTTGGGTGTGCGGGAGTGCGTCCAGAGTAGGCGGTCTCAGGCTGGGCTTATCCTGCTGCGGGATGCCACCATTTGGGTGACATTTACTGAGCTCTCCACACACCATCCCAAGGCATCCTGCAGCGTGACTGGCTTCGGCCTGCCTGCCGCTCCAGGGCCACAGCCGGCCTCCCCGCCTGCCTCCCCCTGCTCCAGCGCCTCGGCTCATGGCTGTTCTTTCTGCCCGTATGGCTCTTCCTTGGCTTGTTTCCTGGTTGCCTAGTTTTCCTTCTTCATGAGTCATCTGAAATGTCACCTCTTTGGGGAGGCCACCGCTGACCACTCTGTATGTAATGGCCCTGTCCCACTTCATTTTTGGCACCCTACCCTTGTCCCCTGCCCTGGCGAGCTGTTTGGTGTCTTTCTGCCCACTCAAATGTCAGCCCAGCGTGGTCGAGCTAGGCCTACTCCTCGCAGAGCCTGGCCCAGCACCTGGCGGAGAGCAGAGCCAGGTGAATCTTTTGTTAAACAAGAGGACAATCCTACGAAACCAGGACTGTCTCTTAGCACAGGGCATCTGGGTGCTCAAAGAGGCTAAGGGACTTGCTTGAGATGACGCGGCAGTGGGAGGGAGAGGCAGGCCCAGGTCTGGTCTGGTCTTAGTTGCTGCTGAGGGACTGGGAGAGAAGGAAGGAGGAGCTTGTCTCAGGAGCAGCTGGGGAGGCTTAGAGGCCCAAAGGGGCGGATGCTGGGCCAGCTGGAGTGCTCTGGAGTGCTCCGGCGCCAGCACTGCCCAGGACTCGGTCTGGGCTGTGGAGAGAGGGCTGCCTCTGGGGCTCTGGGTGGGGGTACCAGCCAACACAGGCAAGGAGCTCCTGGTGCCAGGCGCTCAGTGCCACGTGCCCAGCCGAGAGAGGTGCTTCCCAGCCTGGCTCCAGCCGCCCCAGACTGTACAGTTGCAGCCACAGTTGGCCTTGATTGCTCAGTGAGCTCATTCCAAAAGGTGGGGCTGCCTACCCTGCACACAGGAGGCCCCAGTAGCTCCCTGGGCCCCGGGTGGACTCTCCCTGCCTTCCCTTCCCCTCCCCCACTGGACCTTGCCCTTGGCAGAGCCTTCCAGCCTCCCTGAATGCCCAGCCCTGCTTGTGGGACCTGGCTGAGGCCCATCTGCCAGCCTACTCTAGGCTGCCCTCCTCCTAAGAGGTAAGGGGCCTCCTAGGGGCAGTCCCCTCCGTCTGTATCCCGCCCCTTTTGACTGGGCCAGAGGGGAATTTTCCTGTGACTCACTCTGCTGGCACTTCCTGTGGTCACCAGGGCAGGGGCTGGGGGGACCCGGTAGGGTGGCTCTGTGTTCTGGGGTCACTGGGGGAGGGGGACCGGGTGTCCCGCCCCCTGATGGATGTGATTCCCTGAGGCTGGCTGCTGACCATATTTGGGAAAGTCGCTTTTCTCCTAGGCAGCCTGGGGATGGGGCAGTGAGCCCCAGTGGGCTGCAGGACAGCCCCTGCCCCTGCCCGCTCCGCCTGGGGCTCTGACCTCGACCTGCTTCTGCATCCTCTGCCCCAGCCTGCCTTGGAGCCTGGGAGGTAGTCCACTGTTTTCTTTTTCAGGATGTGTATTTTCTTAACCCTAAAGCTGAGAAATGCTCATTAAATACAAATCGAAAAATTCTGAGAAACAAGAAGAGAAAGTATCCCCCAATCCCTGTTATTCTTACCCTCTCCACATTTAAGTCGGAGTGATGTTTTTTTGAGACATAATTTATACTTCGGTGCATTCGTAACTCTGTCATCATCGCGGTGTGGACGGCCTGGCAGCAGCCGGCAGTTCCGAGGTCCTCTACCTGGTGCTCACCTTTGTGCTGGGGTGAACTGGCTGGTTCTGCTCTCCCTGAGCTCTGAGCTGCCTGGCTGGGCTGGCTCCTCCCCTGGGCCTTACCCCTCTTCGCTCCCAACTTTCCTGCCTCTGGCCCTTAATTGGACTGGGGGCTCTGAGCCGCTCTGGAGAAATGGGCTCCCAGCTGATGCTCCCCAGGGTCTGAACATTCATACCTGGGTCCTGGGGCACATGCTGCTTGCCCAGCCTCCCCCTTGGGCTGCCTTGGTGACACTCAGCCCTCTTCCCTAATCCTCCTTGTGGCAGGCAGGGGAGGTAGTGCAAAGGGCTCACCCCAAATGCTGGCGTGGAGGGAGGAGGGGGTGCCATTCTGGGCTGAGTGAAGCCTCACTCCCACTGCCCTCTGCCCCAGGGCCCAGGCTCCCACTTCCCGTTTCTGCCCAAGGGGGCGTGACCCTTCCTTCCGTCTGGAATTCTAGCCCCTGCCTTAATCCTTGCTAGTGGAGTCCTGGGGACAAGACTGGGCCCAGATGGGGAAGGCCACACAGCAGCGGGTTGCCAGAACTCAGGTCCCTTTTCCAAGTCAGGAGTCGAGACCAGGCTCTGCATCCTCAGACCCCAGGAGACTCAGAAGAGGGCAAGCAGAGCTGAGGCCTGGCTGGAGGGCTGGAGCCCAGCTGGCCTGGCTGTGTCCTCTCCACAGCCCCAGCCTCCCCCACGCGTGAGGCCTGGGTCTCTGCTGCACCCGGCCAAGCTTTCTGCTGCCCTAGGAGGCCAAGGTAACCCTGGCCTTCTCTCCCCAAGGTGCCTCATTCGCTCCTTGGTACTGACCTTGGCCCTCCAACTGGGGCGGGGGACCCTCTGTGCTATATCTAGGCCCAGCCTGAGCCTGGCACCTATGGAAGGGGAGCAGCAACAGCAGGGGGGCTGAAAATGTGAGGTCTCCCCACCCTGAGTTCTCCACCCTCAGTGAGGTTCTGGGCCTGCTAGCGCTGTGTCACCAGAGCTGTGGTCCTCCTGCCTCTGACCCCAGAGCCTCGCCAAGGCCTTCACCAGGGCCTGCGCAGGCTGCTTGACTGCAGGGCCTCTGTGTGCCTGGGCCACATGGAACGCGTGTCCCTGCTCTGGGAAGATTTGCTGCCTGATGGAGCCCCAGAGCAGTGCCCACTTCTGGGTGGCTGTGAGGATTAACAGGAGAGTCACAGCAGCAAAGAACTGGGCGGGGGGTGCTGTCCTTCCTTGTTGGACTTTATTTTCCCCACCTGTTCCTGATGTCTGTCTCGTTCCATGACTCTTCCAGAAGCACCCGCAGTAGCATAATCTGTCCCCGAATAAGTGTCTGTGAAAACTACACAGAGTTGTTTTATAGCTGTTTATAACAACATTTACGCAAAGTGTTCTGGGATGTAGATCTCCCCTCGGGAGGGCGTGGTGGACTTGCCTCCCCAAGTGCCTGGACACCTGCCGGTGCATAGAGCAGAATCTCAGCTGTGTCCGGATTTGCTGGTCAGAGCCCCTGTGTCTTTGTGATAGTCGTGGCCATTCGTTTTTCCCCTTTGGAGAAATCCCTCTTCACATTTGGTTGGTTTTCTCGTCTTGCAGATTTGTAGGCGCGCCCCCAGATTCTAGAGTAATCACTCTCTCATCACTTGGTGACCAGTCACCCTGTCAGCCTTGTGTTGTCACTTTATGTTGTGTCCTTAGGACCTTTGTTTTTGAGGTTTTGTTGTATAATTTTTTCCTATCTCAAAGTCACAAATCAATTCTCCCGGTTTTTTCTTTTATTATTTCTAGACTTGTGTCTCGTAGACCTCGAATATTCTTTGTTTATAATGTGAGGCAAGTGTCCAAATGGATTTTTCTTCCTGCAGTGAGTGAGTTTTCTTCATACTCTCTGTGGCAGAGTCATATCCTTCCCCGTTGCTGTGGGCACCGCCTGTGGCATCCACCAGCTCCCCGTAGAGCGGGGGCCTCTCTCAGCCCCCTCCCAGCACGCTGGGCCCTGTGCCCCTCACTGACTTGGAGTCGCAGCATGTCCTCAAAGCTGGGAAGGAAAGCACCCCTTGGCATTTTATTTTCAGAATTAACCTGCCTATTCCTGGACCTTTGTTGCTCCATTTAATTCTAGAAGGATTCTTTTTCTTTGGCCAGATTCTTCAACGAAAAAACAATTTCTGCTGGCGCTTTGATTGTAATCGTAATTTATTAAGGAAGCGTGGGCTAATTGGCTTTTTACAGCCCTTGGGCACCCCACCGTGAACTCCGTACATTTCCCCCTTTAGTCAGGCTTTTCCTTGAGCCCTTGGACAGGTTGTAAATGTTTCCTCCTCTGAGGGCCCCTGCAGTCTTCACTTGATTAGTTCCTGGAAGAGAACCTGTAGCTTTTGACATTATGTTGTGACGTCTGTTCCGAGGCATTTCTTTCTCATCGGTTATTGATTCTTCCAGTGCAATGGTATATTTGATGATCATATGGTCTGCAGATGATGAGCATTTTGTCCCTGTGTCCCCTCCCTACTCTGTCTTTCATTTTTTTCCCTCTTGGCTCATTGCCCTGGCAGGGCAGCAAGACTGTTGAGTTGGAGCAGGGAGGGTGTGCTGTGCATCCTGTTTTCTTTCCAGGCTGTGGTGGCCATTCCTGTCATTATCTCTGCTCTCCCCTGTGTTGGTCCAGGTTGCAGTGTGAACTCTGGGAGTGGATTTTAAGAGCATCTTGAGTGCCATCTCTGGAGCATAGGCAGTGGATTCCGTAGAGAGGATTCTGAGGCACTATCCAGGCCCATCGGAAGCACCAGGATTAGCTGGGCCTTTCTGCCAGGGGCCGGGGGATAGAGGCGTTGGGATCATGCCAAACCCTACTTTGTCCATTTATCAGTGCCAAGGCCAGATGCCTCCCACGTCCTGGAGCAGGGTGGGAGTTGGGCGGGCTGCTGAGCCTCTCCACGCATACCCTGTGGCCCTCACGCCCACCTGTGTCCTCTCTCCCCAGAACGTGCTGGCCAAAGCCCTCTATGACAACGTGGCTGAGTCCCCGGATGAGCTCTCCTTCCGCAAGGGTGATATCATGACGGTGCTGGAGCGGGACACACAGGGCCTGGACGGCTGGTGGCTCTGCTCGCTGCACGGGCGCCAAGGCATCGTGCCTGGGAACCGCCTCAAGATCCTGGTGGGCATGCACGACAAGAAGCCAGCAGGGCCCGGCCCCGGCCCTCCCGCCCCCTCTGCCCCGCCTCAGCCTGGTCTCCACAACCCGGCCACCCAGTACACGTCCATGCTGCCCACCTCATACCCACCCCAGCCTGACAGCGTCTACCTGGTGCCCACCCCCAGCAAGACTCAACAGGGCCTCTACCAAGCCCCTGGGCCCAGCCCACAGTTCCAGTCTCCCCCAGCCAAGCAGACGTCCACATTCTTGAAGCAGATGCCCCATCACCCATTTCCCAGCCCAGCCCCAGACCTTTACCAGGTGCCCCCAGGGCCTGGCAGCCCAGCCCAGGACATTTACCAGGTGCCACCTTCTGCTGGGATAGGGCACGACATCTACCAGGTGCCCCCATCCATGGACGCACGCAGCTGGGAGGGGACGAAGCCGCCGGCAAAGGTAAGGCCACCCTGGCATGGCGGGGCAGCCCCCTGGTGGGTTTTGCCCAGGCCCCAGTGTCCGAGCACTGCAGGGCCCAGCTAAGCACCCTTGGGTTCTCCGGGGCTCCAGCAGCGGCTGTGTGTTCAGTCTGGGCTAGGGCGGGAGACGGGTGTTTGGGCAGTGTGTTCATCCTGCTGCTGAAGATGGGTGTGACAGGATGGGCCAGCCCGGAGAGATGTCTGAGCCAGCCTTGGACCATGAGGTCGCCTGCAGCAGATGCCCCAGTGGGAGGGTGTCGCTAGCAGAGGACAGCCTGTCGAAGGCCTGGGTGTGTGGAGAGTCTGTGTCCAAGATGGCAGGCCGGGCTTGGGTTTTGAGGCCAGAGCAGCAGGCTGGGGACAGGCCCCCAGGGGTCTGGTGCCACCAAAGACCCAGATGCCTTCCTGAAGGTGGAGCGTTTTGAGTAGGAATGACCTGCCTAACCCATGTCCTGGTAAGGTCATCATGCCCACAGAGTGGAGGGCGTGGGGCGCATCCAGGGGCCCAGACTGGGGCAGGGCGAGCAGGCCGGGAGCGCCGGACGGCGCTTGGAGGAGAAATCAGGTATGACGTGCAGTGCCGCAGGTAGCAGAGAGTGGCTGAAAACCCCAAAGAATGGATTGAAAGAGAGATGGTTTTTCTTACATTTCTCGGTTTTGAGGTGAGCAGTACAGGGCTGCCCCGGCCCCTCTGCCCCATCACGGGCCACAGCTCCCTGCCTCTTACGGCTCTGACGTCCACGGCGTGGGTCTTCTGGGCCAGGACAGTTGCCCCGTGCGCTCCAGCCGGCATGTCTGCATTCGGCCAGCAGGAAAAGAGGAAGGGACGAAGGGGAGAGGCCAGCGCCTTGTACCTGGGGGTGCCCATGAGTCCTTGGCGGGGATGCGCCAGCCCCTGGAGTGGGGGTGGAGCATATCTTCTGGCCATCCCTGGCTCTGCAGACACCTGACCCTTCTCTTCCGGGGCATTTTAGTGGGCCTGTGGGTACCTGAAGGGTGACCTTTTTGTGATTCCTGCACCTGTGGGGGGGACACTGCCCTTAGGATTGCCAGTATAGGGTCGCCCTGAGAGAGACTCTGGTTCAAGTGTGTCGTGAGCTGTTACCAGTCAGATGTTGGGCCAGGGGTCAAAGCTCTGCGCCCCGCACTCGGCTCCACATGGGCCTGCCCTGTACTGGTGCCCGCCACTGTCCCCAGGCCGTCTTCCTGTAGGAGGGAGGCAAGTCAGAGGGAGGCCAGGCCCCACTGGCTGCTTTGAGCTGAGTCAGGAGCAACATTTCTTCACCTTGGCTTGTGTCTTCCGGGGCATAAGTCCCTTCGAGAGTTGGGGAGCGGAGTTTCCTGAGGTCCAGAAGCAGAAATCCCAGACTTGGAAGACAGAGCAGCCATACCCAGCTCTTCCTCCCTGTCTCCTCCATGTCTGTTCGGCCATTACAGCTCACCCAGGAAGACCCTGAGAGAGCCCGCCCACAGCAGCAGGGAGGCCCTCGCTGCCAGCCCAGGCCCTGGTGGGCGAGGCGGGGTGGCAGGCATAGCAGCTGGGCTCTGCTGGGATCAGCTTCCCAGGTTCCATGTGTAAGCCAGGGCCACCTGTGTCCAGAGACAGTGGCCAAGTAGGTCCTCACTCCACAGCACTGAGCCTCTGTCCTCGGAGCCAGCCCAGGGGTGAGGTGGGAGACTTGCCCATGCCAGCTGGGCAGCAGGTGAGCAGGCAATGTCGCTCTGCTCCTGCCCACAGGGCAGAGCTTGGCAGCCAGGAGACCTGGCTAGAGGTCATTGGCTGGCTGAAGGTGGGGCTCCATGGACTCTGGCCACCAGGGAACCCTGAATCAGTAGCTCCCACTTCCTGCCCTATCTGCTCCTTCAACTACCTGGCCAGAGATGGGCCAGTGGCAGAACTGTGCCATGCTGGGCTGGGATCGCCCAGACTAAGGCTGCTCCCAAGAGAGCTTTAGTCAGAGCAGCAGAGCCCTGCCAGGGGAGCACCTGTCCTGTGGGTGGTGGCAGGGAGCAGTGCCTAGCCAGCAAGCTTTGGGACAGGCCATGGTCCATCCCCCCACATACATACACACACACACTCCATGTTCTGCTCACCCCAGGGAGGCACACCCTTTCCCTTACCCGCTTCCTTCACGAATCTTTGCGGACAAGTCTACCTGGTGCATCTGTGAGGCCAGGCAGGCAGTGGAAGCCCTGTGGGCCAGGAAGCATCAGGGAGACCCTCATGCCAGGTTGTGGATGCAAGCCCACGTTTTGGTTGTTGGTTCTGTTTGCCTCCCCCTCGAGGGGCTTGCTCTCAGACCGCCTCTGGGCTCACCTGGCTGGGGCCCAGGTGCCCTCGCCTGAGAAGCCTTGTGGCTCCTGGCCTGGGCCTCCGTTGCATCTGCTTTTATTTCATAATCATGAAAATGATGCTTATTTGTCAGAGAAAATGCATAATGTATGAAAAAGCCTAGACATGAGATGCCCCAATCAAGAGGTAATAACTGGGAAATTTTGGCATATTTTGTCTAGCATATTCTCTGTTAGTCTTTCACAGATTTGTACACATAGTTTTGCATTTTGAGGTTGTAAATTCAATATCAGATTGCAAAAGTGTTTAGTTGGGTCCCTAAACATGACTGTGATGACTGCCCTGGATTTTGCTCTGTTGTCCCTTCCTGTTGGGGTAGGCTCTTGGCGGTTCCTGATGGCATACGTACGTCTCTGTGACAAACAGCGGGGCAATAAACATCTTAGTGTGTGCACATCTGTGCCCACATTTCAAGGTTGTGCTTTCATAAGCCTCGTCTTCCCCCTCAGAACTCCTGGTTCCAGGGGTTGAGGTCAGCTGGGCTGAAGAGGAACCCTGCCAGGACCTTGGTTGGGGGGTGGGGTCCTGACACTTAGGACACCGAAGGATGAGTGAGGAGGCCGGTGGTCAGAAGGGGTCCAATGCCTGGTGTGAGAGGTCAGGGCCTCACTGGGCGTTAGCACCCTTTAGGCTGGGACATAGCTTTAGGAAGAAAAGGAGAGAAGCAGGGCCCCCAGAGTGGGGGGTGTTTCTATGAGGTCACTCTTGGGGGAGTGCCTCTGGGTCAGGCGCAGCAGCTGCGCCTAACGGGACAGCTGTGGTGCTGGGTCAGGAGCAGGCGGGACACAGCTGAGCTCAGTGCTGTTTCTTCTGGGAGCTCCATCCGCTCCCCAGGCCCACAGTGTCGGGTCATGGGGTGGGGGGCAGGAGCACCCGTGTCAGGTGTGTCCCCTCCTGATGAGAGGTTAGTTGGTCACCTGTTCCATCCCACAGCATTCCAGTAGTGCTCCATTTCCCAGAGGAGGAAACCGAGCTCCCAGATGGGAATGGGGTGGGGTGTGCCAGGGCCAGTTGGCCTTTGGCAGCTGAGCTGCCTGGAGGTGGTCGGGCACCTGGGCAGAATGGGGCAGATGGCCTGTCCCTTCACAGTGGGTCTTGGTAGCCCTTAGCTTCATGTCTCACTCCTGCTCTACAGACGCCCCGATGGGCCCCTGCCCTGCCCGGGTCTGTCTTTGGGTGTGCGTCTAACACTAGGTATGTGTGTTCTCTCATCTGCTGTTGAGATGTGTGTGTGAAAGAGCATGTGTGTCTCCTCCCAGACCCTGGCTGGGTCTCCCACCCTGGGGGCCTCCAGGTCCTGCTAACAGAGCCCCAGGTGCAGAGCAAGGCAGCCTGGCCTGCGATTAGTGGCCAGCAGCTCTCTGGAGAGTTGGTTTCCCTAACAAGCTTTTTCCCCTGGCGGCTGCCTTACTATTTTTTTCTATCAGAAAAACAGTTGCTGGCCAATATGGCTGCTTACTGTCACTGATTCAGCCGCAGGAGTGGCAAACTGCCCAGAGCCCAGGGCCTGGGGTCGGGCCCCCAGAGCTGTTCTTCCCGCTCTCACTCATCTGTGGGAGGCTGAGCGGGGCTCAGGTGCACGCCTCTCTTCATGGAGCTAGGTCCCCACCTGCCTTTCAGAGGTTGACAGGGCCTGGAGCTGCCTCAGGCCTCACCTCGAGGCCCCGCCAACCTGCCACGTCCCGCCAGCTCCCGCCTGCCTGCCTGGGAGCCTTGCTCTTGGCAGGTTCCAGTGTCTAAAAATAGCTCTGGAGGAGACTCAAGTCTGGGGCTTGAGGAGGGAGATGAGTCTGGGGAGGGCCGCCAGCTCTACTCCCAGACGTCCTGGGGGTGGGGTGCTGTGGGCGGGGAATACCCCGTGGGGGCGTGCCCGGCATCTGGTGGAGAGCGAGAGCCTGCTGCCCACGAGCCCTTGCCGCTCGCTGCCTGGCTTTGCTGCGAGGCCCAGGAGCAGGAGGCTCTGCCAAGCCCTAGGCTAATCAGAAAAGTTCTGGTGCCCGTGCTTCTGGTGGGGGGCACTCTGCTGCTGCTGGTGCCCAGTGTGCGCACATGCTGCCTGCACTATCCAGGGCGCAGGGTGTACAGAGCTGGCTGCCTGTCATGGGGGCTGGGTGCAAGCAGGGGCACAGGGTCCTGGCGGCACCGAGCCCAAGGGCAGGCCCTGCCCAGCCCTGCTGCCCCCGGAGATGTGCGTGGGGAGGGCCTGAGTCAACCCTGTCCCAGACGTCCCCTTTGATTAGGGAACAAAAGGCCTTTCTGTCGGAGAAGAGCAGAGCAGGGAGCCTTGCGGGGGAGGCCTGCCCTGAGCTGGCTTAGATCCTGCCGGCCCCGCCCACAGGGCTGACCCCTCCCACCGGCCCTTCCCACCGGCCGGGTGCCTGCAGGGGAGAAGGCTGCCTGCCCAGCACTGCCCGCCAGGTCTGGTGCTGACGTGAGGGGCTGTGGGCAGCGGCGCAGCTCTGGACCCTGGGCCAGGGGCAGGGTGCACCCGGGAGGGGCGAAAGGGCTGGCTGCCTCTCTGGGCTGATGTTATCTGTTCGGGTGAGTGGTGGTCTCAGGGCCCTGTGGATGTGGGGAGAGGGGGTCTTGGTTCTAGTCTTGGCTACTCCCTCACACTCGTCCCGCCTTCTGCCTGAGAACTGGCCCTGAGGTCTGGGCGTCCTCATCGGCTTGTCCTCAGGAGTCTCTCCAAGATACGCTGGGAACAAGAGAGGCAGGAGTGCCACTTGCTGCCCTGCCAGGCCACCACTTCCCCGGAGGCCTCAGGCCTTGGCCGTCGGGATCTCCTGCCTCCTCTGGGCCTGAGGAGGGCACGGCCTGAGGAGGGCACGGTGTTAGGAACCGGCTCCCTTTGTCCTGGAGCGGGAAGGTGGCTGCTGGCTCCTGCAGTCAAGACAGCCCCTCACTGGCAGACCTTTCTGGGGAGGGTACAGCTGGGAGGGGACCCCAGGCAGGGGTACCCCACTCAACGGTGGCCCTTTCTCTGTCAGCCCATATGAGCCCTCTTCTGGAATCTTCCAAGTCATCCAGCTGTAGGGACCACTTCTGTTTCCTGGCCAGAGCCACATGCTCGTGGCATCCCCCAGGCATTGCATTTCATTGAAGAAAGGGCAGAGAACGCAAAGGGACGAGAATACCCCTGACTCCGAGTGGCCTCTGAGCCCACCCTTGGGGGGCACCAGCCTTTGTGGGTCTCGGCCACTTCACAGGGTCGTGGAGGCTCCCTGAGGACCTGAAGGCTCGTTTTCAGGACCAGTGGTGACAGCTGTCTGCCCCTAGGTGGTGGGGCCCACCCGCATGGGGCAGGGCTATGTGTTCGAGGCCTCCCAGCCAGAGCAGGATGAGTACGACATCCCACGCCACCTGTTGGGCCCCGGGCCCCAGGACATCTACGACGTGCCGCCTGTTCGGGGGCTGCTTCCCAGCCAGTACAGCCAGGAGGTGAGTGTCGGGACTGGGGTGGGGGTGGCTTGGACTGGCCCTGCTCAGGGAGCTGAGCCTTCTTGGCCCTCGCCAGGGCAGGATGGTCCTGGGGTTGGGGCTGTGGGGTGTCTGCTCTTTTCATCCCCTCAGGTGGCCCTGGCACCTGTGTCACTGCACCTTTTCTGTCCCCAGGTATATGACACTCCCCCCATGGCTGTCAAGGGTCCCAATGGCCGGGACCCATCGCTGGATGTCTATGACGTGCCCCCCAGTGTGGAGAAGGGCCTGCCACCATCCAGCCATCATGCGGTGAGCAGTCGGGGGATGCTGGGGCCTCGCTGGCTGAGGCCTGACTGTGTGCGGTTCTGGCTGTGACTGAGTGTGTGCTGAGCGAGGACCCATGTCTCCAGGGCCGGGGGCATCGAGGGACCTGACTCGCTCCCGGTTCTACCTCTCACTCGCTCTGCGGTGGACTTTCCTCAGAGCCTCAGCTTCCTGACCTGTAAAAGGGCCCTTCCAAGGGCCTTCTTCATGGGTTCTTGAGAGGAACACACAGGATATCAGCAGAGTGACCCAGAATTTATCTTCCAAACCCAGACACTTCTGAGAGCAAAAGGGGGATGACCAGTAATATGTCACTCTGAGTGTAACACACAGACAGCTCGGCCAAGTACCTACCACAGAGTAGAGAATACACGAGGGGCGGTGGTGGTGATGGTCTTGTTGACGGTAGTGACAGTGGTGGTGATGGCGGTGGTGACGGCGACGGTGGTGACGGCGGTGGTGGCAGCGGTGACAGTGGTGGTGACGGTGGCGACGGCAGTGGTGGTGACGGTGGCGACGGTGGTGGCGGTGGTGTGACAGTTATCTCTCACCCAGTGTTTGAGGTTACGAAGTGACTCACCTCATGTGACCCTCACGAACCTGTGAAGGAGTTCTCCCATCTTCCAGGGGGAACAGACAGGCACAGAGGGGTTGAGTCACCTGCCTTAGGTCACACAGATAGTAATCAGTGGAGCTAGGGTTTTGAACTCAGGTCTGGCTCCAGAGTTGAACTCATAATCAGAACCTCTGTGGGTGAGAACTGTGACAGACGTGTGCCCCTGGGCTGTGTCTGTATGTGACTGAGTCCTGCCCCCAGGTTCCCAGGTGGGCAGATGGACAGGCAGCCTTGACTGCTCTTTGCCCCTCCAGGTGTATGATGTTCCTCCATCAGTGAGCAAGGACATGCCCGACGGCCCACTGCTGCGTGAGGAGACCTACGATGTGCCCCCTGCCTTCGCCAAGCCCAAGCCCTTTGACCCAGCCCGCCACCCGCTGGTCCTTGCCACACCGCCCCCGGACTCGCCACCCACTGAGGATGTGTACGACGTGCCGCCGCCCGCTCCCGACCTCTACGATGTGCCCCCTGGCTTGCGACGGCCTGGCCCCGGCACCCTCTACGACGTGCCCCGTGAGCGGCTTCTTCCTCCTGAGGCAGCTGACAGCAGTGTGGCCGATGACGGTGTGTACGCGGTGCCCCCGCCAGCCGAGCGAGAGGCCCCGGCCGATGGCAAGCGCCTGTCAGCCTCCAGCACGGGCAGCACACGCAGCAGCCAGTCCGCCTCCTCCCTGGAGACGGCGGTCGCAGGCCGCGAGCCCCTGGAGCTGGAGGTGGCTGTGGAGGCTCTGGGCCGGCTGCAGCAGGGTGTGAGTGCCACCGTAGCCCACCTCTTGGACGTGGCGGGCAGTGCTGGTGGGTGCGGGGGCTGGCGCAGCACTGCCGAGCCTCAGGAGGCCCCAGTGCAGGACCTGCGGGCTGCTGTGACTGCTGTCCAGGGGGCCGTCCACGAGCTGCTGGAGTTTGCCCGCAGCGCTGTGGGCAATGCTGCCCACACTTCTGACCGCACGCTGCATGCCAAGCTTAGCCGGCAACTGCAGAAGATGGAGGACGTGTACCAGACGTTGGTGGCCCACGGTCAGACCTTCGACAGTGCCCGGGGTGGCCCCGGGGCCACTCCTGAAGACCTAGACCGCTTGGTGGCCTGCTCACGGGCTGTGCCCGAGGACGCCAAGCAGCTGGCTTCCTTCTTGCATGGCAATGCCTCGCTGCTCTTCAGACGGACCAAGGCCCCTGTCTCAGGGCCCGAGGGGGGCGGCCCCCTGCACCCCAACCCCACTGACAAGGCCAGCAGCATCCAGTCCCGGCCCCTGCCCTCACCCCCCAAGTTCACCTCCCAGGACTCGCCGGACGGGCAGTACGAGAACAGCGAGGGGGGCTGGATGGAAGATTACGACTACGTCCACCTGCAGGTGGGTGCCCACCCCGCCCCGGCTCCCCGGCCCTCCTCGAGCTGATTTTTCACCCCTGTCGTGGGACCCTCAGCACCCCCACAACAGAGGGCTCGTGTGGCCAGAGGGAGCTTTGGCCCCCGCAGGGCTTGGCGAGCCCTGTGCTCGCCTCTCACTCTGACTCTCAGGCCAGCTGGCCCCTGGCAGCCCGCCGCTCTCCCGCTCAGGCCTTCGGGCGGCGCATTCGTGTCGTCGGGTCCTGCGGGAAAAGCTCCCCAGAGCCTGCAGGAGTTGAGCCTTTCCGGTCACCAGGGCGGAGGTGGCGCTGTTCTGTTTGGGAAATGGATTCTGAAGGACAAGCAAAGACAAGGACACTTCTGGGCGTGGGGGAAATAAACAAGGTGATGGGAAGGTGGGGTAGGGGGTGTCTCTGAGCAGAGAGCTGGGCGCCAGCCGGAAGGCTTAGCATTCCAGGCTGAGAGCTGGCAGTGCCAAGGCCCAGTGGTCAGGGACAGGTGAGCAGGCCCTGTATGCCTAGGGCGTGGATGTGATTCCTGACGTAGGAACCGGGGCAGGGAGGATGGCCATGGCACATGGAGTATGCCCAACCCCTTCCTGGGCTGGCTGGAGGCGGAGGAGGCCCAGGAGAGCCGCTGCCTCAAGAAGCTGCCGCCGCCCGGGCCCTGGTGGCTGCAGTTATGAGCCTGGGCACGGTGTGCAGCGTCACCTGGTGGCCACTTGCCCCACACCGGGACCCACCAGGCCTGTGGGGCTTCTAGCTCAGCCCAGTCCTGTCTCCCCTCCAGGGGAAGGAAGAGTTTGAGAAGACCCAGAAGGAGCTGTTGGAAAAGGGCAACATCATGCGGCAGGGGAAGGGCCAGCTGGAGCTGCAGCAGGTGAGGACGCTAAGGGTCACCAGCTTCTCCCAGCCCAGGCCTCTCGTCTGTTAGAGAAGCCATCCCTCGGGGCCTGTCTCCAGAGCTGAGCCTCCCAGGGCCCTCCCTGCTCAGCCAGTCCCCAGTCCACCGCATGACGGTCTCCGTGTGTTTGTTGGGTTGATGTTAAGTTATTATAAGAGCAATCATGGTAGACTTTTAGAGCTCACATACAAAAAGGTGTGAAAAAGCAGGGAGATGAAGCCACGAACACACAGAGGCATTTGGAATGATACTTTGTGAACAGTTATGGCTACTTTTATCACACACATTTTTCCATGGCATTAAACATTCCTCATAAGTTATTTTTAAAGGCCACAAAACATGTTATTGTTGAACATTTATGTTATACCCAGTCTTCCTTGTTATACGTGATATTGCTGTGTTTATCTGCAGGCATAGTTTCCTTCATATTTTGGATCATTTGAAAGGGTAGTAAAAAATAAAAACTAAGGGCATTTTGTTTTGATTATGAAGATAATAAAAATTAAAATGTAGACTAGCACAAACTAAACCTGGAAATATCACCCGTCAGATTTCCCTCACCCCACCTTCCCCTGGGCATAGGGAAGGGTGACATAGCCTGCTGGCTCTGCCCTGAGGCCTGAGACAAGGCATGCATTTTTCAAAGCCCGTTTCCCCAGCTGTAAAGCAGGGGTCATAATTATATCCATCCCCGAGTTGGTGTGAGAATTAAATGAGTAAAGAAAAGTACGAAACTTAGGAGGTTCTTGGCACATAGAAGACACGCAGTGAAGGAATAAATGTTAACAATTATATAACATGTGGACGCCCCACTGATTCAGGAAGCGGCACGTACGTTCCCCTTGTTTCCTTCCTCTGGATTTTTCCAGCATTCGTTTAATCAGTCCCCTGTCGGTGGACATTTAGCTCGTTCCCAGGGTTTCTTTTGTAAACAGTGTTATGCTGAATATAAATTTCATCACGTATCTGATTGATCACTTAGAGAAATTACTAGAAGCTAAGGAAAAAAGGTAGGAATATGTATGAAAAACTCTAAAGATCTAGAGTTCCTAAGCCAGGGACATACAAAGTACAAGTAAAATACAGATACATAAAATGTATTGACAAGGATGTTTATTGCTCTATTTCCATATGAGAAAATTCTAGACCACCCCCCCCCAACAACATCTAATAGTGGAGCATCGGTTGAATAAAATATGCACATTTGTACATTAGAATATTATGTAGCTATTTCAAATTGTCAAAGAATGAAAAAGACAAGAATTCAAAACAAAAATGAGTGTATTCTCTCATTAGACAAGAGAACCGACTGGTGAGTTTCAACAGAGCTGCCTAAGGGCGGAAGGGGCCGGTCAGAGGGTTTTAAATGTTAAGTTTCATGTTGGTTTTGCCAGTTGGTTTTGACCTTCTGGGTAGAACAGAACTTGTCTGTCCCTGAGTCTGTGCACAGCCAGTCATAGCCACTCGATCCTCTGGTCAGAGCCAGCTCTGATGAGGACTCCTGGCCATACCGGTGGCTCCCAGGCGAGGGCTGCTGCCAGCGTCCGCTCCCCGCATGCTGCTGGGCACGCTCACTGGCGTGGAGTGAGGGACCTGACGTCGGGCGCTGAAAGTAGGCAATAAAACCAAGTAGTAGTTCCAGTTTTCTAATTAAAAAGGAAATTCGTGTCTGAAAGAAATGTCTTGAATATTCACCAGTTTTTTGTGTGAACTTTTGTTTTCTGAACTTTTACAAATACCATGACCTTTTTTCTTTTGTTTAAAATTTTTATTATGAAAAATTTAATACATTTATAAAATTGGAGAAAATTGTCCCCCAGGTACCGTTAACTTAGCCCTAGTCATTCTCAGCACAATAGTCCCGTTTCAGCTGGCCCCTCGTCCCCCGCAAATCATTTCAAAGATTTCATATTTCATCTGCCAGTACTTTAGTTTGTAGTTCTAAAAGACTGTGTACCCGAATTTTAACAGATTATTTCTGGGTGCATGGGATCTCAAGTGATGGCTACCTTTTTCTCTGTTTGGTTATACTTGAATCTTTTTACATTGTGGAAAGATGAAAATGTTTTGTTTTTTTTTTAACTTTTCAGTTGTAAATATTTATAGATTCACGGGAAGTTGCAAAGAGCACAGAGCAGTCCTGTGTACCCTTCACCCAGTTTCCCCCGATGCATCTTGAGTAACTAGAGAACAGCGCTCAGGCCGGGAGGTGGAGGCCCCTCCCCCCTGCGGCCGCTCGCTTGTTCTCCATTTCTGTCGTTTTATCATTTCAAACATGTTCTATAAACAGACTCACTAATGAGATTGGTAAAGAAGTTACTTGGGAAGGACACCTGCTCCGCCAGCAGGACTGGGGCTCTGTTCCCCACGGCCGCTGTCTTATTTTAGGAGGATTTCCTTTTTACCCCTTCTTGCTCTGTGGCTCTGGTTTTCACTGTGCCTTCCGTCTCCCCAGCTGAAGCAGTTTGAGCGGCTGGAGCAGGAGGTGTCACGACCCATAGACCACGACTTGACCAACTGGACCACGGCCCAGGCCCTGGCCCCAGGGCGGACAGGCGGCCTGGGGCCGTCGGATCGGCAGCTGCTGCTCTTCTACCTGGAGCAGTGTGAGGCAAACCTGACCACGCTGACCAACGCGGTGGACGCCTTCTTTACCGCCGTGGCCACCAACCAACCACCCAAGATCTTCGTGGCACACAGCAAGTTCGTCATCCTCAGCGCCCACAAGCTGGTGTTCATTGGGGACACACTGTCGCGACAGGCCAAGGCCGCTGACGTGCGCAGCCAGGTGACTCACTACAGCAATCTTCTGTGCGACCTCCTGCGTGGCATCGTGGCCACCACCAAGGCTGCTGCCTTGCAGTACCCATCGCCCACCGCCGCCCAGGACATGGTGGACAGGGTCAGGGAGCTGGGCCACAGCACCCAGCAATTCCGCCGGGTCCTGGGCCAGTTGGCAGCTGCCTGAGAACCAGTGACCAGAGGGATGGATGTCAGGGGAGGTCCAAACTGCCCTGCGCACTCACCCCGAGAGTCGTAGTGCCACAGGCATGGGGACAGGCAGCCCCAGCTCCACCCAGGCCTGGTGCCCCAGACTGTCCAGGGATCTGTACATATTTATGACGGGGCAGGATGTGGGACGATGCCTCCTCAGAAGAGTCTAAGCCGAGCCCTGCGAGCCTAGGCCAAGGAGAGGCTGGTGGTCTCACCTGAGTGCGCGGCGGGCCTAGGGAGGGTCAGCGGGCCAGGCCAGAGCCGTGAAGGCCCCGTGACCCATATGGCCTTGGGTGACCCCTGGAGATGACCCCAGCTCCCTAAGGGTGCTGCCCCCAGGGCCAGTGCAGCTGTGCGTGTTCCTTCTCAGCACTAGGAGAATACCCTAAAAAACTATTTTTCATTATTGATTTTCCAATCATTGACTAATAGTCTACATTTAAATAAAACTTTAAAAATAAAAACAGCCTTTTGAGGTGTGAGACGCGAGAGGGCCCTTGGGTGGAAAGGCAGGTGTGTCCTCACCTGTGGAAGTCCAGGGTGGGAGGGGATTGGGGGTGGGTTGAGGGGTTCCATGGTGAAGCTGCGGGTGGCCTCTTGGGAGGGTGAAGAAACAGTAGGTCCCAGCAGAAGAAACCAAGGCTGTGGGAAACGGCTGGGCCAGGGAGACGAGCCCGACCAGGCCCTGAGGCCGGAGACAGCGCAAGCAGGCTGGAGGGTTCTCGCCGACAAGGTGGGGCAGAGTCGGCTACTGCCTGCAGGAAGCTGGGGGTGCGTCCAGCTCGCCATGAAGTCTGGGCTGGCAGTTACGTCCAGGTCTGGTTTGGGGTGCTGAGAGCCCCACCTAGTCTCATCTCGGGCTTCTGGCTTATTTCCTTCAGTGTCCTAAGTTCCGCTGCCCAGGCCGCAGCTCACCTGGCTGGTCCTTTAACTGAACAGGAGCAGCCAGGAAAGGGCAGCAGGGGGAGGCTGCTGCCTCGTGCTCCTGAGCCTGGCCGGTCCTCTCCAGTGTCTCCAGTGTGGCCTGGGTGCGGCAGCCCAGAAGCTGCTCCCAGGAGGGTTCCTGGGGTCACAGTTCCTGAGCCAAAGCAGGCTTATCCCCTGGACGCTGCTCCCGACATGGGGCCCTGAGGACCCTGCAACCATGTGGGGATTTGGGGGCCAAGGTCCTATTTCATCTTCCTGTGCCCCCTGGAGAAGGGGGACTGAGGAGGGGGCCTCCCTGGGACCGTGCTGATTGGCCCAGTGAAGACCAAAGTTAGCAGAGTGAGGTCTTGGAGGCCTTGACCTTGGAGATGGACCATCAACATAATTTTCACTGGTTTATTTAGGCCTGTGGGGACGGTCAGCAGGATGGCCAGGGCAAGGTCAAGGGCTCGGTTGGCAGCCAGATTCTTCTGGACCCAGGGTATGAGCTCCGTGACGCGGGCGTACACTCCAGGTGTGGAGGTGGAGCAGGTGCTACTGCCCCAGGACACGATGCCCAACAGGGTCCAGGATCCGTCCTTCCGGCAGACCAGGGGGCCGCCAGAGTCACCCTGCAAGAGGAAAAAGATGAAAGAGGTTGCTAGGGCCCTAGTGTGCCCCGACCCGGCCGAGTCCAGGGGGCGTGCGGAGAAGTGACAAGTGCGGGCTCTGTGGCCGTGCATGAGATACGTGGTTCTGGGCTATGTGGCAGCCCCGTCTCTGCCACCTGCTCCGAGAGGGCCTGGGGCAGGTGGCTTACGCTCTCAGCCCATCATGAGTAAAATGGGCTGCAAACGTCCAGCTCACAGGGTCGGTGACAGATTAAACACCCCTGGGAAGCCCCGCACCACATCCGGCCCTCACGAGGCATCTGCTAGTGCTGGTCCTGGCTCTCGTGGGGGCAGCGAGCAAGGAGTGAGGTTAAGCAGACGGTGACAGAGAGGAGCGGGCCTCCTGGCCTGGCCCGGGTGGGCCGAGGTCAGTGAGGGTGGCAGGGCGGCCGGAGAGAGACCACACCTTGCAAGAGGAGACGCCGCTGGCGCCGGCGCAGACCATCACGTCGCTGATCTTGCTGCCCCAGAACGTCTTGCATTCGGCGTTGGACAGGAGGGGCAGGGCCGCCTGCTGCAGCTTGTCGGGGGTCTTGTTGGCTGGAGGGACAGAGGGGTGGGGTCAGTGCTCCTCACCCGCCGGCCTACCCTGCATGGGAGAGACCAGGGGTTTCCCAGAGACCCTGCCCTGGCCCCGCGTGGTCCTCATCCTTCGCCATCACGACGGGCACGGATATAGAGCTCCTCGCCTTGCCTCAGATCCTACCAGATCTGTGGGACAAGGTTCCTTCCCGGTGCCACGCCAGGCAGTGGTGACATCGGTTCAAGCACAGTGGTTCAAACAAAGCCCGCCCTGCCAGGTCCGGGCACAGTGTGGGTCCTGCCAGCCACCGTGTGGTGGGTGGAGGGGCCGTGTCCCCATTCCAGAGAAGGGGGTGACATCGTTCTGACTGGAGACACTGGAGGGGACCTGCCACTCTTGGCAGCGATGAGGGCGCAGCCTCCCCCTGCTGCCCTTTCCTGGCTGCTTCTGTCCGGGGACGGCGTCCTCCCCATTGACAATCCTGGACAGGCCACTTAGCATGGATTGGATGGCGGGGACCCCGCAGCCTGGGATGGGAGTGTGGGGTGAGTTTTGGAGGCCAAGGTCGACTCTGTGCCTTCTCCCCAGGTCCCATGGCCCCAGGAATTCCCCAGGGACAACTCAGTCTGCTCTGTGCTTCTGCCTACACCAGCCCCGTAGGCTGAGTCTGAGACAGTGCAAGGCCTAAACCTAAACCTGGGCGGGGTGGCTGGATGCTGTGGGTTTGAACCCGGCCCCATCACTGCCTAGTTTAACCACTCTGAGTCTCAGTTTTCCTACCAGCCAAATGGGAATCATACAGTTGCTAACCTCAAAGAGCTGGTATAAGGACCTAGGATGAAAAGGAATGTGTTCTGTTCCTGGCACATCAGAAGCACTCAGCGAACCCACGTTTAAAAGTGCTGGGTTTGAGGGCCCAAAAGGGCTGATCGGGTCTGAGCCACACCTGCCCACCTGCTCACTGTTGTTTAGGAGCCACTAACTGTTCAGAGAACTCCATGTCCCTCTGAACCTGTCTTCCCCATCCCTGCACAGGGTTGAGGCCTCAGGACAGCCTCAGAATCATCTACCTCCTCCCCAGGGGCCTGGATCACACTGGCTGGTCTGATCCAATCCTCCTGGTGGCTCCACTGTAGAGATGGGGCTGGCGAGGCTCAAAGCGGGAGGGAATTGCTCAGGCTCACACCGTCATGCATGGTTGAACTGGAAATAGTAATCCCTGGGTGCCTTGTTGGCCTCAGGGTTGGGGAGGTAGCCTTCTGGGCCTCCGCCTGCCCTGGCGCTCACCGAAGCCAGTGCCTAAGAGTGTGAAGCAGGACAGAAGCCAGAGGAAGGACATGGAGCCGTGTTCAGGGAGGTGACGCCTGCCTGGGGGCTCCCCATTATATCCCTGTGCACCAGGCTGTTACCTGGGGACCTTGAGGTGACAATCCCTTTCCTGGGTGTGTGCCAGGTTGGGCAGAATATGCCAGAGCAAGCCTGGGACAGCCGGCAGCTGTGGCCATGGCTGAGCTTGAGCCAGGATCAAGGGCAAAGGTGAGGCTAACCAAGGTGGCCCTCAACCCACAGCCAAGGGGAAATGAAATCTCACAGCTGCTTTTCATTCCCATTGCACTTGGCTTCCTCCTCCAGGCCCTGTGGCAGCAGCCAGAGCTGGCCATGATTCAAGCCCAAACCTAGCCTCTCATGGTCTGGAGCAGGGATCTCAACCCCCAGGCCACGGACCAGTTCTGGTCCATGGCTTGTTAGGAACCGGGCCACACAGCAGGAGGCAAATGACAGAAGCTTCATCTGTATTTTCAGCTGCTCCCCAGCGCTAGCATCAGCTCCTCAGCTCCACTGCAGATCATTCGGCATTAGATTCTCATAGGAGCACCGGTCCCTGGTGCCAAAAATATTGGGGCCCGCTGGTCTGGAGGACCTTGGACCAGTAATTTAGTCAATCTGTTAGTTGTTCAAAATCCCCTGGGCAGTGTGGTCAAGTACAGGGCTGGGGGTGGGGGGGGGGAAGGGAGGATGCAGCGCCCCAAGTTCAGGTGAGAGCGCAGGTGGCCAGGGTGGAGGGTGCTTTCCCCTGCCACCCTGCGCCAGGTCAGGGCATGACCAAAAAGCTCAGTGAGGGCTTATTTGAACATCCGTGGTGGTCACTTGGCCTGTTTGCAGTATGGCTTGCAGGAGCTCACTGACCGCTGCCCATTCATCCAGGTGCCATGGGCCTCTGGAGTTGAGCATGCAGTATCCAGGGCAAGACTGGTCCCAGTCAAGCCCAGGCGTCCCTGCGACCGCCCCGGCGGGAGCTGATGGAGGCCTGATTCTGGCTTGGGCAACAGGGTGGACAGTGAGGCCCTTTCGCAGCAATTGGGAAACTGAGGAGGGAGAAATTTGAGGTGAGGCTGCCAGGCACGGGACAAACCTCTCAAAACGCATGGAGGGCCCTGGTGGAGACACTGAGAGCCCACATTGATCCTCTGGCCGCTTCTGGATGGTGGGACCTGAGTGGGGGAGGGGCCAGGCAGGTGCGGAGCGGATGCTGAGGCCTGAGCCCACCGGGAGCTGTGGCCGTGGCCTTGGGGGCCGACAGCTAGCCGGGGCTCTGCGGCCCCTGTGGCCTCTGCGTCTCCTGGGCCCCTTGCGCACAGGCAGCCGAAGCCTGGGAAGCTGCACAGCTGCCGGTAGGGGCGGGGGCGGTGGGCCCGCAGGTGTCTCACTACAGCTGGGGGAGGGGCCAGAAACTGGCCGGGCCGGGGCGGGACCAGCGGCCCTCTGATTCCCCTCGCCCAGGCACCACTCTACCGCGAGGCAGGCGCATCCAAGACGGTTCCGCCAACCCCGCCCAGAAGAGGGACCTCTAAGGGCGGAGTGTTAGATGCCGGGCTTTCTGCAAGTGGATTGGCCCTGAACTTCCTCTCTCTGAGCTTTTCGCCCGGCTGCTCCATTACGTGAGAACGTCCAGTGCTGTTCTGCCCTGGGCAGTGAGCGCCTCCTCGCAGAGCAGCCTCGACTGTGGCTGGCCAGCTGCAAAGCAGGCGTGGATCAGAGAGCCCTTGGATGAGTCAGTGGATCTCTGAAAGTAGTTTAGCCAATCAAGTTTACAGGAAAGAATATTTTCCTGGGCTCCACTTTTTCGCTGATATTTCTGCCCCAGGGTTTGGAACCCTGCCTCTTCTCCCAAGCTCCTGGAGCCCACCCATCCCTGCTCATACAAACTCCCAGGAAGCAGGTATGGCCCTGTTCGCGAGTTGTCTGACATTCCAGAAAACCTTAATTCTGTACTTGGTTACCTCGTTGCAGGTATGTGAGGTCTAGTATGTTTAATGGGCAATGCTGACGCAAGCCCAGGAAAAGTTGTAACTCAACGAAATTGATTCAGATGACCCGATTTCCGTGCAAACAGGCAAGGGCGTCCGAGGGCAGCACTGCCCCAGGTGGCCTGGGTTTAGGGGAAAAGCTTTGCTGGAGGCAGGAGGCACACAGCGGAGTCAGTCCCTGCACACAGCTCCTTACAGGAATTGCTGAGGGTTGCGGGGCAGTGTGCGTGCGTGCCTCTGCGACCAGCACCTCTAAGACCTGCATCTTCTTCGAGGGCCAGCACTCAGGTGTCAGTCTCCTTACGAGAGAGCAATTCCCCTTGAAGTCCTGCAGCTAAGGGGGTCACATCCCAACCCTCTTTAAAAAAGAAAAAGAATTAAAAATAAGATATATCGAAGAATTCATTACAGGTGGTGAAATGCACAGTTCTGAAGTGAACAGAGGGATGAAGTTTGACTTAAATACATACCACAGTGTAAGAAACGCCCCCACCGAGGTTTAAAATAATGCCATCACTCCGGAAAGGTCCCTCATACCTCTTTCCATCTACCCCTCCCCAGAGGCGACCGGCAACCACTGTTCTGATGTCTTCTACTGCATATTAGTTTTGCCTGTCTAGAAATGTCTATAAACAGAACCACACAGTATGCCGTCTTTGTATCTGGGTTCTTTAGCTCAGCCGCATGATTTTACAGTTCGCTTGTGTTCGCGTGTGTGTCTCAGCAGCGTGTTCCTTTTTATCTGAGCGGTGTTTCATAAGTGCACTGCAATTCGCGCACCCGTTCTCCCGCCGGAGCATTTAGGCTGTCGCCCTGCTCCCAATCCCACCCTCTTTTTGCTCCTTGTAATGAGGTGACTCTTAACTCTAAACACAGGCATGCGAGAAATGTAGTTTTCTTTATTTTTCTGTGAGAGAACATAATTTCTATTTTGATCATTTATTCAGAAGCCTAAAACCAAATCTCCACGGGCTGAGGGTAACCTCGTACTCCTTGGCTGGCGATGAGCCCAGACATGGGGAGGAGGGCTGGTCCTTGGCTCTCCTCGGGTGTCCACACGTCCGTCCCCTGCTTGCTGAACTTCCTGCGTCCCATCGCCACAGCTGGCCGTTTGTTCCCCATCCCGAGGCTTCCCCGGGACTATGAATATGGGTGTACAACTATCTCTTTGAGACCCCGCTTTTAATTCTTTTGGATATTTACCCAGAAGTGGAATTGCGGGATCATCTGGTGAATCTATTTTTAATTTTGGGGGGAACCGCCATACTCTTTTCTATAGCGATGGCACCGTTTTACGATCCCAACAGTGCGCAAGTTTCTCCACATCTTTGCCAGTTCTTCTTCTTCTTATTTTTTGAGGGTTTTGTTTATATTAGACACCCTAATGGGTATAAAGTGATACTTCACTGAGGTTTTGATTTGCATTTCCCTAATGACTGGTGGTTTTGATCATCTTTTGATGTGCTCTTTGGCCATTTGTATGACTCCGCAATATTTATGATCACCGCTGATGCTGTAGGAACCTCCAGTGCCTGTTTCCACCTGCATTTCAGCCTCTGCCACCTTCAGCGTGAATTCAAGTAATTGTGATGCAGCCGTGTGCCATGGGCCACCAGGGTTTCATCTTCTCTGGCAAAGAGATTCTCCTTGACTCTTCCAGTGTGTGAGCAGCCCAATCCCAGAATTCCATGTTCAGTGGTCCTGGGGCCACAATTACTGTATTAGTCATGGTCCTGCCTGTAAACAGATGGCACAGCCACACTGGGTTATTTGAGGAGTTTTAATAAAGGGAGTTGTTACAAAGGTGCTGGCAGGGTTTAGGGAAACCAGCAAAGGATGGTGAGGTGCACAGGGTTCTAGCAACGATGGGGATGCACCTAGAGCTGAAGGGACAAGGGGGGAGCAGTTATGGAATCCAGTTATGGAATCCAGCTGTACAGAGGGCACTGCCTGAAAGGAGCCGAGGCCTCTGTAGTGGGAAGCAGCCAACCCACAGCAGCCTCTCCGAGGGAAACCGAGTAAATGCCCGACTTCTCTCTCCCACCCCCTCTCCAGGTCCTGCTTCCACGGGGGCCTCCCCTAGGCCGACCCCCGACAGGAAGCCAGCGAGCCTGGGAAGCTGTCATGCCGTCTCATCTCTGAGGGCCAGGCGGCTTGAGGCCCATAAAGTGGAGAAGGATGGAGTGGAAATGGAAGGCCGATAGCGCCATCCTTATGATTATTTTGTATTACTTAAGATGCTTTTTGTAATAAAATACATGGCTGGCAGTGGCCAAACAATAGGGATTCACTTTTCTCACAAGAGTACACACAAGCAGAGATTTGGAGGTGTGCGATTCAGTGTTGGGGTACCTCGAGGTCAGAATCTCTGTCTTTCTTCTCCGGGTCTCAAGATGGCAGCCGAAGCGTCAAGCACCACATCCCCACAAGGCCGCCAAAGTGGGGTTCTCCTCACCCCTGTTTGTTTCCACTGGCTTATGTTAGTCAGAGGTCTCCCGGCTGAGAGCTGGGTGGGATGGTCCTCCGTGGGAACCCTCTGTGTGGACAAAAAGGAGGCGATGGCTTTAGGGAAGCAGCAAAGGCTATCGCTCTGTAGCAAATGGTCGCCCTGTTTCTGGGCAGCATTCCTCTCATGGTCTGCTTGAACGGGGCAGAGGTTGGGGCCGAAAGGCATTGCTCGAAGGAGAAACCATCTCAGCAAATACACGCAAGCCTCCTCGCAGACCAGGTGTAGACGTCCGTGGCCATTTCCCTCATCTGAAGTTGGCGGGGAGTTCGCGTGCACGGCGGACCCACAGAGCCAGCGACTTCGAGCCCTTCGTTTTCTGCTCTGGAAAAATCCTCGCGTCAAGGAGAATGCAAATGGCTTGGCTGCCTGCTTGAAACGAGTGAACGTTAATACTGCAATAAATTACCTTGGACTGGAATTTAAATACGGATCCCTTCTGCTCAAAGCCAAGGCTGACAATCAGCCAGGACAACCCTGGGTGACCACACAGCCTGTTAAAATATCAAAAAAGTTTCAGACCCCGTTACTAAATAGCTGCTGGCCCCGCCCTCTATGTCCCTCAAATTTGGCTGCCTCAGCCCTTCCCCACAGCCTGTCCCAGCCATGGCCACTGTTCACACTGGTCAGAAATGCTGGGTAATTAATTAAACATTTTGAATATCCCCCTGATGAGAACACAACTGTAAAACAAAACTAAATTTACAAAGAGAAAACTTCAAATCCAGTCAGGTTCAAATGAAGACCAGGGCCACTGTCCTGCTCACTCTGACCCCCATCTCCGTAGGTGACCATGGCCTACTGACCGCAGGGCCCCAGAGGTGTTGGAAGAAGATTCGATTCGCCTGGTGCGTTTTTTTTTTTTCCAAACTGTCTCATCAGTGAGGCCCACACTGGACTGTCCAGGGCAGTGTTCCCCATTCCAGTTCTGGGGATCACGGGACTTTAAGCATTATATTCTTATTTGTTTAGCATCTGTCTGTGTCCTTAGGGCCTGGTCCCCATGAGGGCAGGGGCGCGTGTGCTCTGGTCTTGTGAGTGACCTGGCATCCAGACCGGGGCCTGGCCCAGGGGAGAGAAGGAGCCTGTGCACAGATGCTGAGAAGTCATTCAGCCTCTACGTGGTTCAAAAGCATCACTGGTCCTTTTCTCATCGTTCTGTGACAATTACATTGTTTCTATTTCCTCAATGTGTAGAATCCTTTAATGGTGTAGAATCGAAGCCCCATTTTACAAGAAACAAAACCTTTACGCAATGACTAGTTTCTTAAATTGTGAAGTATCACAGAAAAAGAGAATTAAGGTGAGCCCAACAGTAGACATGGGGTGGCCTGTCAGCGTGTGTGCCAACCTGTTGGCAGCCGCCACGGGTGACCCCCTCGGGCCCACACATGCCCTCACACCCACTCTGAAGTTGCTTGGCTGGGCTGGTTTCGAGGCAACCCTCTAGATAATCCAGAATACCCTTATAATACTTCACTTTCCGAGGAGTAATACATTGAACATGCTCCTTGCTGAGAACCGGCAGCCTATCTTCATAGGGCTGGAGGCCTCCCAATAACGGCCAGCTGGGATTCTTTTAATTCTTCGATCCCATGGTGAAATCCCCTGGAATTAGGAGCTGAGGATCCTCCCTGTGGCACTGGGTATGGCGGAGCCCCCGTACCTGCTTCCTGGCAAAGACCGCACAGAGCTGGGCTCTGCGGGGCCTGGGCTCCCAGCCTGGGTGCTGGCCTTGCTGCAGTGCCCTTGGACTGCCTGGCATTGCCAAGTCTTCTGGATGACGTTGGACCAGGGCAGCTGCCCTTTTCTCAGGGGCTGGGGTGGCCCGGGCTAAGAGCCAGGCTGGGCTGTGAGAGGCGCTGGGCCCCCACTTATTGCTGAAGGTCCCTGAATAACAGGGAGGGTGGCTCTCAGGCTCCTCTGACAGGGCAGGGCCAGGGGCACTGGGCGGGCTTTTGGGGGGTTCCAGGGGCTATAATAGGGGCCCTCACGGAAGTCACCTCACATCTCCCTGACTGTAGCAACATGACCTTTCTCTGGTTCCTCTCCTGCTTCACCCTCGTGGGGGCCGCCTTCGGTGAGTGTCAGGGCAGCCAGGTCTGTGAGGAGGTGGGGAGGAGGTCCCTGAGCCCCCAGTGGCCCTGCAGCCAGGCCTCACCAGAGGGGCTCTGTCTGAAGTGGGCCCCGGGGCCTGGCCAAAAGGAAGCTCTGAGGCCCCTTCCCGGTACCCACAGGTCTCGTGTCCAGACAGGCAAGCTGAGGCTGCAGGGAGGAGAGGGGTCCTTCGAGAGCTTTCTGAGCCTCGTGCACTGCGCCAGGCGGGTGGAAAGTGGAAAAGACCAGTCTGAGCCCGGCTGAGGCCTGAGGCCCCAGAAGCGGCCCAGGAAAGGTGCTGTGGGCAGAGTGTGGTCGCAGACACCTCCCAAGGCCTCCTACCCGAATGTTTTATTTTGTGCCGGGTACTTGCTAAAGTTTTATTTTCTATTTAAAAAAAGAAGAATTGTAACAAATACAGAAAATTATACAACTCAGTGATCATCAGGGTTTAACAAATGTTACATTTTTGCAGATTTGCTTGAGGTATTTCTTTTAAATCAAAATAGATTCAACTAAAGCTCCCCCCTGCCCTCCTCCTTCTTCCCCTTAGAAGGTGACCTCTCTTCTGAACTTGCCGTGTATCATTTCTGTGCAAGGTTTTTTGTTATTTTTGGATTTTTTTAAACCAATTTACTACATATTTATAACTCCATAAACAATGTATAACCCTTGTAAAAGCTTACATAAACAGCATGATATTGTTTGCCTTTTCCCACCCACACCATGTTTTAGATTTATCCCCATCGATGACCCAGCCCATTTAACAAGTACTCAGCTGTGTAAATACATGACAGTTCAGTTCTAATCTTTTTTGCTATTACAAGAAAATAGGTCATTATGATGACGTACGTTTTGGTGATAATCTTCGTGAGTGGCTGGTCCCTCTCCCTGTTCCCAGGAGCAGGAAGGGCAGGTGGCCAGGCCTGTGTGACCCTCGAGGCAGCCTGGCTGGTCACGGGGCCTGGACAAGCCTGACTTTCCTTCCTTGTCCCACTGTGACACCCGAGCACAGGGGGCTGAGAATTCCTCTGTCCTGACCCACTTAATGCATCACGGACACATGAAATACACATCCTTTCTCATTCTTCTGTGACCGTTTGAGTCCCTTGTTTTCCGTTTTCTCAGTGTGTCCTTTCATGCTGTGGAATCGAAGTTTTCATTTACTAACTAATTAAGACACTACAACCTTGCACAAAGAATAGTTCCTGAAATCTCCGGAGCAGAGAATCCAGCACGGGCCCAGCTGTCACACTCCCCTCGCTGGTGTCATGAGGTCCGGATTCCCCGTGCACTTGGCCTATCAGATTTTAATTCCGCACGCCCCTCACCCCACCAACCTGACGGGTGAGCTTTGGCCTGTGACTTAGCATCCTTTGCTCCCCGGTTTACTGAGAAAAATAAGCAATGGAGCTTCAGCGATTGGTCTGAGAGGACTCAAGCCAGGCAGTCTGATTTCTGCATTTTTGGGCAGGACGACCCTCTGCATCCTTGGAAGGGTGACGGGTCAGCAGGCTGCGTGGAGGGGAGATCCCTGAGCCGAAGGTTGGAGGGTGCCTGGAGGAGGTTCTGAGAGGAGCAGTGGGTGTGGCAGTGGGGTCCTGTGCTGGCCTGGGCGGGCTGAGGGGGAAATCGAGATTTCTGCAGATGCCTCCTGCCTCAGCCCTTCTTCCTGCCCGACTCCCCAGGCTGCGGGGTCCCCGCCATCCAACCTGTGCTGAGTGGCCTGTCCAGGATCGTCAATGGGGAGGACGCCATCCCCGGCTCCTGGCCCTGGCAGGTGTCCCTGCAGGTGAGGGGGTATTCTGCACGAGTCGGGGACACACTGGGTGGTGGGCCCGCTGGGAGCTGCCAGTGTCCAGCCAGCACTAACCCTGCCATGTTCCCCCAGGACAGCACCGGCTTCCACTTCTGTGGGGGCTCCCTCATCAGCGAGGACTGGGTGGTGACCGCTGCCCACTGCGGGGTCAGGTGAGGGCCCGGGCAGGCTCAGGGCTCTGCTTCCAGCTCCAGTTTGGGCGGGCAAAGGGACCAGGGCATGTTCTAGGTCCTTAAAGCCCCACGTGCTTCCCATAGGACCTCCCACCTGGTCGTAGCCGGGGAGTTTGACCAGGGCTCAGATGAGGAGAATGTCCAGGTCCTGAAGATCGCCAAGGTACGTCCAGGCCCTGCCGCACTGGCCGGGGAAGCTCGGCCGAGGGGCTGGGACAGGGGCAGGAGGGAGGGGAGCCTGCAGACCCGGCACTGGGCCTCAGAATGCTCGCGGCCGGTCAGGGTCTCCTCACCCTGAATGGGTCATCGGCAGAGGAGTTTCTCTCCTTGACAGCTGCGGGTCGCTGATTTATGCCAGGGCCTCACTTTGCAGTTCTGGCCTCGCCCCACAGGTTTTCAAGAACCCCAAGTTCAACCTGCTCACCGTCCGCAACGACATCACCCTGCTGAAGCTGGCCACGCCCGCCCGCTTCTCTAAGACCGTGTCCGCCGTGTGCCTGCCTGACGCTGACGACGACTTCCCCGCCGGGTCGCTGTGCGCCACCACTGGCTGGGGCAGGACCAAGTACAATGGTGAGCGTCATGTGGCCTTTCCACCCACGAGCCGAGTGCGGGGTTGGGGCTGCCTGAGCAGCAGGCGTCTCCAGCTGGGACCCACAGGTCTCTTTTTAAATTTTGTCTAAGCTCCAATAGTCATAAATCTTCCCATTTCTTTATTTAAATTCTGCTAACTAAAAACCTACAAAACAGGAATAAAATACGGTTTAACGTACACTCGAACAGCAAGCTGCTGAAGAAACACTTAAGAACCAGCAAGTACCGCCCTCAGCACCCTGCACCCAGCTCGACAGCGTCCCATCTCCAGCCAGGACTTCTCTGCGATGTGGGGAGGGCGGGTGCGTGCAGCTCGCGTGAAGTCTGGGCGGAGAGTCAAAGGTCCAGGTCTGGTTTGGGGCCCTGAGAGTCCAGCCTCATCTTACCTTCCCTGGCTGCTGGCTCTGCCCGATTTTCCTCCTGCCGTGTCCCAAGTTCTGCCCAGGCCACAGCTTGCCTGGCTGGTCTTTAAACAGGACAGAAGCAGCCAGGAAAGGGCAGCAGGGGGAGGCTGCGCCCTCAACGCTGCCAAGAGTGGCGGGTCCCCTCCAGTGTCTCCAGTCAGAACGATGTCACCCCCTTCTCTGGAATGGGGACACGGCCCCTCCACCCACCACACGGTGGCTGGCAGGACCCACACTGTGCCCGGACCTGGCAGGGCGGGCTTTGTTTGAACCACTGTGCTTGAACCGATGTCACCACTGCCTGGTGTGGCACCGGGAAGGAACCTTGTCCCACAGATCTGGTAGGATCTGAGGGAAGGCGAGGAGCTCTATATCCATGTCCGTCGTGACGGCGAAGGATGAGGACCACGCGGGGCCAGGGCGGGGCCAGGGCAGGGAAGCCCCTGGTCTCTCCCATGCAGGGTAGGCCGGCGGGTGAGGAGCACTGACCCCACCCCTCTGTCCCTCCAGCCAACAAGACCCCCGACAAGCTGCAGCAGGCGGCCCTGCCCCTCCTGTCCAACGCCGAATGCAAGACGTTCTGGGGCAGCAAGATCAGCGACGTGATGGTCTGCGCCGGCGCCAGCGGCGTCTCCTCTTGCAAGGTGTGGTCTCTCTCCGGCCGCCCTGCCACCCTCACTGACCTCGGCCCACCCGGGCCAGGCCAGGAGGCCCGCTCCTCTCTGTCACCGTCTGCTTAACCTCACTCCTTGCTCGCTGCCCCCGCGAAAGCCAGGACCAGCACTAGCAGATGCCTCGTGAGGGCCGGATGTGGCGCGGGGCTTCCCAGGGGTGTTTAATCTGTCACCGACCCTGTGAGCTGGACGTTTGCAGCCCATTTTACTCATGATGGCCGGGCTGAGAGCGTAAGCCACCTGCCCCAGGCCCTCTCGGAGCAGGTGGCAGAGACGGGGCTGCCACATAGCCCAGAACCACGTATCTCATGCACGGCCACTGAGCCCGCACTTGTCACTTCTCCGCACGCCCCCTGGACTCGGCCGGGTCGGGGCACACTAGGGCCCTAGCAACCTCTTTCATCTTTTTCCTCTTGCAGGGTGACTCTGGCGGCCCCCTGGTCTGCCGGAAGGACGGATCCTGGACCCTGGTGGGCATCGTGTCCTGGGGCAGTAGCACCTGCTCCACCTCCACACCTGGAGTGTACGCCCGCGTCACGGAGCTCATACCCTGGGTCCAGAAGATCCTGGCTGCTAACTGAACCTGTGGTCCCTACCGTCCCAACTTTGAGTGTTCCCATTAAAGGCATCGCTACAGAAACACTGACTGCACGTTTTTGTGTGGGGGAGGTGGGGGGTTGGGTTGGGGGTGTGTGTGCGCACGCGCGCGGGCTTGGCCCATGGGGATGCGGGGCTGCAGTTTCCATGTTAGCCACCAGGGGGCAATGTGACCACTCTGTCTCCAGGGGAACAGGTATTCCCCGCAACCCCCGTGTCCTCAGGAAGCTGTCTTTTATCTCAGCTTTCCCGCTCAGGACTTCCCCTTGGGGTAGAATCCATGTCCTATTTGCTTGGGCCAGCTTTGGCCCATGGAGCTTTCTAGAAGGCAGGAGTCCCTGGCCTTGCTATGCAGTCCATAGCCCTTAAGGGTTGGCACTGAGACCAAGATAGCGTAGTCATGTATTTTTCTCCCTCCACCACATGCTCCAGGCACCTCTGCCTTTAGCTCCCCACACCCAGTGCCATGGAGCGAGCATCCTATCTCCACCTTTCTCTGCCTCAGACCCCAGGACCCCGGACACATGGTACACGCGCAAAACAGCATAGCTTGGGACATGTCAATCCAGACCCTGAGGCTGGCACCACTGTCCTTTCAGCTACCGCCTTGTCCCCTGTGTTTTCTGAGATGAGTCAGTTACATCTGGAGGCTTGATCAGACTCAGGTTCAATCTGTTCCACCAGACTGTAGGTGGAGCTGTGTTCTTCATCAGGAGCTGTCAGGACTGGCTGGCTCTTTTTCTGAGGTCAGGTGATTTTGATGCTCATGCCTGGATGCATCAGTTCTTGGAGGGCTTGCAAAATGGTGGTCACTTAATTTTAACATTGCTTTTTCATGTATCATCTGGAATACTTTTAGAGAGATAATTCTCTATCTATCATTCAATTACCCAGTGGTACTGTTCATGCAGAGAGTATATGCTTCTTTTTCTTTTACAGGTTTTTAAAAATGTTTTCTTCGTTTACCGATTTTTTAAAATAACGAATTTGTTCTCTATCCTTTCCCAAAGGTGACCCTATTAACTTCATTTTTGTTTTTGAGAATCATTAGGTACTCATGGATTTAAATATATTTGAGGGTTTTGATCCATTGTAATTATTTTTCTTATTGAAGCTCCAATATGTGAATTTCTGCTGAAGCAACCGAGGCCCTCGGAATTCTCATTATTTTCGCCTATGAGTGCATATTCCCACAGAGGCATTGAGTACTAAGTCCTGCAACACACATGGAGAGAGGTCAGAGTCCCTAGCGGCTGTCAGTCCCTTGAGCTCAGGCGTGGGAGGCAGTGGAAGAGGTCTAGGTACCAGAAGATTACAGCTATTCACTGCCAGTCCCACCAAGAAACTGCCCTGGGCCCCATTTCCTGCTCAGCAGCACCCGGAAGGGGTGTGTATGTGTGTGGGAGGGTGTTGGGATGGGGCCACGGAGGTGGTCTTCCTGTCCTCCTTGGCTTCTCACACGCACAGAGCTTCTGCACCCCCTGTTTATTTCGAGGACACCTGTACTAGCTAGCATAGATGGGCCTGGCGCAGGCTCCCATTTCCCCAAAGCACTGGAGCTGGGAGAGAAGCAGACAGAATTCTCACGGTTCATTTCCTACTCTCCTCCCACAGCTGAGCCCACAGCGATGACCACACACAACTCCAGCTCAAATGCCCCTCTCCTCTCTCCTCTCCCAGGTCTTTCTCCTAGTTTTCTTTGTATCTTGGTGTTTTTCTTTAGGGTTCCTTCGAGATGATCCATCTTGGACGAGGCAGCCTCCTGGAGTCTGAAACTTCAGTCCTGAGATAAGGTTGCCACCTGGTGGTCAATGTGAAGACCACATGGCTATGCCTGGCCTCTGGCTTCTAACCCGGTGCTGTGCACCAAAGAAACGTGAGCCAAATAAGTGATTTTAAATTATCTGGTAGCCTGACTAAGAAAGTCAAAGGAAATAGGTGATTGAATTTTACTAATACACTGTTTTTAATTCATTCAATATATCCACATATTATCATTTCAGCTTGTAATCGACGTTTTAAAATTATTAATGGTATATTTTACATTCTTTTTCTCATGCCGGTCTTTGAAATCCAAAGTGTAATTTGCACTTCTAACACATCTCAGTTATGATGATAATTTTTCATCAGGAGTAGTTTAGCTGCATTTAAATTTCATAAAAATTACAGTTGAAAAAGTAGACATACCCAAGTTATTCCAAATATTTTGAATTAGGTGTTATACTGAAAAGGACAGTTAAGCACCAAACACGCTTCCCCCACAGCCGCCCCCAGGGAAGGGTCTGTATATTCTTGTTCCGTTAGACCTTGTTTGACACGATGCACCTTTTCTCCCCACCTTTTCTCTGTCTGTAGGTGAACTTGCTTCCTACTTAACTGAAACATCTGAATCAATCAGAAGAGTTAGTCACCGTGTACAGCCAGAGAAGGCCACACCATTCAACAGTCACTTCTCACCCGGCGTCTGCACCCAGTCTATTGGGCACCATGATGGGCTGTGATGAGCCCTGCCAGGAATGACTCGTACCCCAGCATTGCCAGCAGACAGCCCCCATGCTGTGCCTCCTCCGCTCTTCAAATTTCCTCAGCTGAAGAGAATCGTCTTGATCAGGGTCATGCCTCTTTTCTGGGCGGTCCACATGGCTGATTGGGCAGTGAGGTTTTTAAAGCCCCAGTTTCTTAGCCCAAACTTGGGATAATGAAGAGGTTGTTTTTCCCTCTGCTTGACCCTGCGTCCATCTCTTGGGGCTTCTCCGATAAACTTCCCCCATGCTAGTTGGGATTCTGGAGTTGGAGCACTGACTGCTGGCTGGCTGGCAACGAGGACCCCTTCACTGTTGGTACAGGGAACGTGGACCTTGGCACAAGGTAACGATGGAATTGTTAAAACTTCTGCCACTGACTTGACAAACTGGGGTGGTATTCTGGTGGAAAAGAACTCACTAGTGGGTTCCAGATATCGGGAGGTTGAGAAATATGGAGGGAGAAATTATAAGGATGGTGAAGTGGTGCAGCTGTTGCTAAGCACGGTCAAGTCTTTGGAAAAAGAAAAAGCTGAGAATGATTCACAGGCAAGTGAAAGCTGGCTGTGGAAGCCGGGGAGCTGCCCACAGAGAGGCTCTTGCCTCCTGCGGTCGCAGGCACCGAAGACTGGTCCAGGACCGAGTCCCAGAGCAGCCAAGGTCCAAAGGTTAAACCCTCACCCTAGACAGGTCTGTTAGGACAAGGTCAGAGTCCTGCAGGACAATGACACCCATGATGTCTGCTCCTGGCCATGATGGTGTGTGGGGCCTGGGAAGAGAGCAGAGACTCCTTCCCCAGGGAGCTGCAGGACCCAGGCAGCAGGTGCTGGCCGGGGCCAGGAGAGGATGATGGGGGCTGGACCTCGAGAGTGCTTGATCACGGTTGGGGCAGAACCTAAAATGGATATGGGAGAGTGTACTGATTTGGGAGCACACTCACTCAGGATGGAGGTTTTAATGCCCTTGCCAGACCGCCGAGCCCACATGCTGCCATGAGGGCTCTCAGAAGCTTGGAAGTGGCCCTGGAGCCCACTGAGTGAGGTGGAAATGCCAGCATCGCCGTGTCAGGTGGTGGAAGAAGGGATCAAAGGGCTTGGCCAGGGGCGGGGTAGAGCGGGCGCGAGGCGCTAGATGAGGAAGAATGCCAATGGGTGGCTTTCGCAGGAAGGCCTGGAAGACTGCACCCATCTGCCAGAGCAAGAGGGAAGGAGCTGATTGGGGGGGCCCAGTGGCGACGTTCATCAGAGGTGCCCACTAGACTGAGCCCAAGCAAGTGGTAGGAGGCACTGCAGGACTGAGGCTGATGGTGATGTGCCGGAGCCCGGGATAACAGGGGCCAGGTGGCTGTAGTTTCCATCATGAGTGGCAGCTGGGGTCCTGCCTGGTGAAAAGAACCTGGCAGCCTTGGGTTCAAGGACCCCTCGAAGAGGCTCTGCTCGGTCTATACAATGAGAAGAGATCGAGGTCAGGCGATGGGCCGGCTAAGTTGCCTCAGTCAAAAACCTGGCACTGGGCAGCACCTCGAATTTGTATCAGGCCTTTTTGGCCTCAACCAGCGTGAGATGTTCCCTCCTCCTCGTTCCCTCCTCTCCACTCCCATGTGGCACCTGGGATCGCATTAGAAACTAATTGCACTCCACTGGACTCACCTGTGTCCTTGATCATCCTAAGAATGGTATGCAAAGCGGGAGAAAGAAAAACAAATGGTCAGTTATCTGAGTCTATCAGAAATCTCTCAAACAAAGGAAGCTTTTGGGGTGGGGAGGGTGGCCTGGTTCTTCATCTCTGTGAGGTAGCCATCGTTGAAGTGGACACCTCAGCAATCAGAAGCCTAAGCCAGGCACTCACAACAAAACCAACTGTCAGCTGCTTACACTACAGTCCACCCTGTGACACAAGGCAGTGGACAGGACGTTGGCAGCCTGGGTTGCGGATATGTTAAAAGTCTGGGATAGGGGAGTTGTAACCAAGCAAGGACACATCTAAAGAATGTAGTTGCAAATCCTATGATAATCATACAGGCAATAGTCAAATTCAGTCCATAGCCATCGTCACAAGCTTACAGGATGTCCAGGATGTCACAAAACAGGTCAGTGATCTTGGGACCTAGGAATCTCTTCAAAGATTCGGGTAATATTGTGGAATATTTTAACATCTTGGGCCATCGGGACAAGTGGCTAGGTTTCCACAAGGTGATATGTTCTCTGGACTAGTGGCCACCCAGGCAGTGGGCGATCCTCCCATGTGACTACCTCATCGGGGTGTTGGTCATGGGCTGGAGGAGGCCAGCCTGAGTGACCTTGCAACAGATCAGGTAGTTGTCCTTTTATTCCCAGAGGAGCTCCTCCAAAACACACAGATTCTGGGCACGTTTATATCACAGGCGAAGGGAGGTCTTACAGATGATATTTAGGCACCCCTGGGACTGACCACGAGGGCAGGACAAATTGTGGGAGCACAGTCCCTGTCACCAGGTGGGTT